AAGTGCCGATAACGTCTAAAAAGGTGCCTGCTGCTTCGATTGGCTCCTCCTGCAGCTGGGACAGCATCTGCACAGATATATTGCCCTCCCATCATCGCCGTTTCACTGTGGGTCCCCAGGAGCTCCAGCAGCAGGGCTGTGCTGTCAGGACAGGAGCCTCAGGATGGGGGCAGAGGGACTCCTGTCCCCTTGGGTGCTGTGGCTGTTCCTCTGGGTGCAGCCTTGCAGAGGTAAGTGCCAGCTTCTCTGTTCCACAGCCTTGGGACAGTGGGCAGCAGTGGGGTCATCGGGATCTCTCTGGGAGTGGGGTTGTTTTCAGGCACCACTGAAATGAGAGGCAGAAGGTTCTCATTCCCTCATCCCTGTGTTTTAATCTGTGCTTGTCATGGATGGGAGGGGGTAATCCATTTCCACAGCTCCCATGATTATGGCAGCCCATGCCTTGCATCATTTCTAGACTCCTTGTCCTTGGGGACCCTTTTGTGAGCCCTTGTTCCCGAGCACTGTGCCTCTGGATCTGGAGGAGTCCCAGACAGTGAGAGTAACCCTCAGTGATCTCCAGGGCACAGCCCCTGTCCGGGGTGTCCCAGGGGGGTTGTGTGCTGTTCCTTGCCCCTGGGATCTGGGGAAACACTGACTCCAGGAGGGCAGGTTGTGTCCCATTAACAGAACGGGACTGGGGTGTCTGCATCCAAAAGTGGTAGAGAGGTGTTCTTCCTGGGGCTCTGTCCAAGCACAGGGACTGATCTGACAGCAGGGATGAGGAAAGTTTTTTGGGATCCTTGTGATCAATTCAGTTCCCTGTGGGCACCCTAGAGTTCCTGGGTTGGACAGTTGTTTTAGGAGGTGCCTGTGGCAGGCAATGGGCAATGGAAGCTGCTCAGGGGCATGGGGCTGTTCGGGGGACACTGGGCTGGGGAGGAGCGGGAGCCCTGTGCAGGGCTGGGGGCTGTGTGGGGGTGGGCATCTGTGAGGGCAGGGGTCTGCTGGGGTGGGAGGAGGTGCTGAGAGCTGTGGGGCAGCAAATGGCCCAGGAGGGCTAGAGCTGAGTACCCCCAGACCAGTGTAGCCCATGGGGAGAGGAGGAACCCCCCGCTGCCCCTGAGACAGCCTATGGGGACAGGGATCCCACCCTGGAAACTGGGAGTCTGCCTGGGGAGGGGGTCCTCACGGACACACAATGTGGGGCTCAAAACTCTCCTGACCCTTCCTGTGTTGGTGTTTGAAGGGGCTGCGGAGGTGAGGCTGGTGGATGGCGGCAGTCGCTGTGCTGGGAGAGTGGAGGTGAAACATCAGGGCCAGTGGGGGACCGTGTGTCATTACGACTGGTACATGTCTGATGCTGCAGTGGTTTGTAGGCAGCTGGGCTGTGGGGGTGCTCTCAAAGCTCATCGGAATGCACACTTTGGGCCAGGATCTGGGCCCATTTGGATGGATTATGTTGGCTGTCGTGGCACCGAGTCTGCCCTGTCTGACTGCACACACGCAGGGTGGGGCCAAACAGACTGCTATCATATCTGGGATGCTGGAGTGACATGCTCAGGTAAGGACTGAACTTCTTCCCTACTTCTGGGATGAGGACACTTCTACGGGACCTGGCTGTGACCTCAGGAAGCAACAAGTGCACACCAGAACATGGCTCTGTGTGTCAAGTTGCACTCTGAGCTGGGTCTGTCACTGCTGATGTCCCTTGTCCCTGGGAAAGCCCAGTGGGAGCACACTGAGCATGGCACTGAAGCTGGAGCAGCCAACCTTGGGGAGGTGTCTGGGTCTGGGAGAGGAAAGCCCTCACCCTTCCCCACTGTGCTGGCTGGTTCCCATCTTTCTCCTCCATTCACCCAGGCCCTGTCTGGCAGACTGGTCCCTATGCCAGGGGAATCTAGAGCAGCTCCCCCAGCCACCAGCAGCCTCAGGGAAGGGTGTGCAATGGCCCAGGACTTTTGGTTGTACCCCCAGCAGCCAAGAGAACCTTGGCCAAAGCAGAGGGGCTGCTCAGAGGGCAGGAGCACTGGGCTTGAGCAGAGGAACATGGTGGCAAGTGGCACCTTGTTCCTGTCCCGGGGTCACCCCATGAGAGCCAGTCCCTGGAGACATGGCCCCTCCAGGCCTTGCTGACCCACTGCCTGACCTCTCCTGCCTAACCCATGCCCCAGGGGCTGTGCCAGCACCTCCTGGCTCTCCTTGGTGCCTCTCCTCACACCGGGAGCTCGTGTCAGCCCAGGGCTGCTCTCTGCCTGCTTTCCTGACCCATGCATAGTAGGTGGCTGGGGACGTGCATGTCCAGCACCACACTGTACCTAGCAGAGGACCCCCTTTGCAGAGGATTCCCCGAAGTGCCCCATCTAACAGCAGCTCCCCAAGAGCCCCAGCATTCCCTGGGAACAAGGGAGCTTTATGGCAGATCCAAGGATTTCTTCTAACTAGCCTGAGCCTTGTGGGGCAGAGCAGGCTGAAGTAAGCCCTGAGTTCCTGGGCCTGTTTCCCCGGGCCCACATGCTGCGTGTGCTGCAGTGCTGGGACTGGGGCCGGGCAGCCCAAGGACTCCGGGCAGCAGCAGTTTGTCTGAGCAGTGCCTGCTGCTGGGGGCTTGCAAAAGAGGACATGGGTGTTGGGCTGGTTTCTGAGGAGCAGCAGGGGGGCCCTGACCTCTTTGTGCCATCAGCACTCACTGAGAGCTGCTGGGCTGGCCATAGGGCTCTGCATGTGGTCACCTCAGGGATGAGGTGGGAGGTGGGCATGGAAGTGCCAGAGGGCTCTGGGAACTCACAGGTCTCCTTGGTTGCTCCAGGATTTGTCCGGCTGGTCGGAGGGGACAGCCCCTGCTCTGGAAGTGTGGAGGTCTACGACAGGGACCAGTGGAAAGCTGTCTGTCACTCCCACTTTGGTGCCAAAGCTGCCGAGGTGGTGTGCAGGGAGCTGCAGTGTGGCACAGCCCTGTCTGTCCATGGGGCAGCTCAGCTGGGAGAAGGGGCCGGTCCTGTCTGGGACAGAGAGCTGCAGTGTGTGGGGAATGAATCCATCCTCTCCTTCTGCCCCACGGGGACCCCCAAGGACAAGGCCTGCACCCACAGCAATGGCACTCATGTCACCTGTACACGTAAGGACTTGGGGTGGTATGGTGCCCAGAGGGGCTGTGGTTGGAGCGGGAGAGCAGTGTGGGCATTGGGCTGTGCTGGATGGAGAGGAGAAACTGCTGGTGGGGAGGAGGAAAGAACGCTGTCCCTTTGGCCTCTCCTGCAGCTCCTGTGGGAACAAGAGCACAAATGTGGCCTCTCTCACCCTCCTTTGTCCTTGAGTACACAGGGTTCAGGCTGGTGAACGGCAGCACAGCGTGTGAGGGCAGGGTGGAGGTCAACATGCTGGGGACATGGGGGACCCTCTGTGCCTCCCGCTGGGACCTCTCGGACGCCCACGTTCTGTGTCGGCACCTCGGCTGTGGCTTTGCTGAGTCCATTCCTGGAGGAGGGCTTTTTGGGAGAGGAACCGGCCCCGTCTGGAGAGACTCGTTCCACTGTGACGGGACTGAAGCCCACCTGGGGCAGTGTCCGGTGACTGCCCTGGGGGCCTCGCCGTGCTCCCAGGAGAACGCTGCTGCTGTCATTTGCTCAGGTGAGTGCTGGGCAGTGCTGCAAAGTCCATTTGCCCCTGGTGTGTGACACGGCCACACAAATTTGGGGAGCTCATGGCAGAGCCTGGCTGAATGTCTGCTCTCACCAGGCCTAACTCACCCCATGCCCCTGCGGTTGGTGGGCGGAGGGAGCCGGTGCGACGGGCGCGTGGAGGTGTTCCAGCACGGGACGTGGGGCAGAGTCCTGGATGAGCAGTGGGACATGCAGGAGGCCAGCGTGGTGTGCCGGCAGCTGCAGTGCGGAGAGGCAGAGGCAGCCTACACACCCCGTGAGGGCCGAGCGAGGACAAGGACCTGTGGGGCTGCGTGGGGTGCGGTGTGCAGGGCACGAGGCTGACCTGAGCCTCTGCAACACCTCGCTGCCTCAGAGCATGCCAACAGAAGGGATCATGGAGGATGTGGGGGTCGTGTGCCAGGGTGAGTGGTGCTGCACGTCCCACAGGTGCTGGTCCGGGAGGGCAGCCAGCCCTGACGGCCGGGGTTCTCCACACTGCAGGGAGCCGGTGGGTCCGGCTGGTGAGACGGGGCCGGGCGCTGTGCTGGGAGAGTGGAGATCTACTACCAGGGGCGCTGGGGCACCGTCTGTGACGACGCCTGGGACCTGGCCGACGCCGCCGTCGTTTGCCGCCAGCTGGGCTGCGGAGGGGTCCCTGGAGGCAGCCGGCTCTGCTCGGTTTGGGGAGGGCTCCGGGCAGATCTGGCTGGATGGCGTCAACTGCTCCGGGACCGAAGCTGCTCTCTGGGACTGCCCTGCCGAGGCCTGGGGGCAGCACGACTGTGGGCCAAGGAGGACGCGGGAGTCGTCTGCTCAGGTCTGTGCTGGGCGTGGGGCTGGGAGCTGGGGCCCTCAGAGACTAGGGTAAGTGGCAGAGCTGGGTGAGGCCAGTGCCATCCCTGGCTGCCTTGGGTCCCCCGCCCAAGCCCATCCTGGGGAAACCTTCACACAGACCCTTGGGAGCCCATCCACCCTGACAGTGAGTGGGGAGGGCAAAGGAGTATGTCAGAGACCTCTCTGCCCCCAGATGCAAAAGGGATTTGCTGGCTGTGCCTCCGAATTCCTGAGCACCTGGGGTGCAGAGGAGCCTCTGTTCCACCAGCCCCAGACCAGCCTGTTCTGTCTGGGGCCTTTCCTCCTTCCAGAGTTCACGGCCCTGAGGCTGGAGAACAACGACGGCTGCTCCGGGGCGCCTGCAGGTTTTCTACAACGGGACGTGGGGCAGTGTTTGCTCCAACTCCATGACCAACCGAGACGGTGTCACTGGTGTGCAAGGAGCTGGGCCTGCGGGAATGAAGGGGAACTGGAAATACATTCTAACTATGCCAAGCTGTCTGGTACTGCATGGCTGGATCACGTTGGAGTGTGGGAAGAGCAAACAGCTCCTTCTGGCAGTGTCCCTCTGCTTCCTGGAATCCGCAGTCATGTGATGACCTCCGAGAAGAGACCCACATCACCTGCAATGGTAAATCTGAGACATCAAGGCACCAGGTCCAGTTCTCCACTGGGCATGGTCAAATGCAGAGAAGAAACCCAGACGGGGTTTGACTTCCTGCATTAGACCCTGCTGCTACTGGTACACAAAGGTGACTTCAGCTTTGGAGCCACCCATGTCCACCAGCAGCAGTCAACAGCCGGGCTGCCAGCAGCTCCCTGGGGGATGCAGAGGCATCTCCGGGCAAGGTCTCAGAGGAGACCATGCAGGGCTTTCAGGAGTCCTCCCTCCTGCGACAGCCTCCTGCTGCTCTGTGAACCACGGACCCTGTAGGGCTCAGAACTTGGGTCCCCCTGCAGTGCTGTGTGCGTCCCCTAAATGAAACAGGGTGCTGCTGCTGCCCTGACCCAGGCAGCATGGGGATGTGTGAGCAGAGGTCACCCTGCTCTGTTCTGCATGACGCCTAGAGCAGGCCCTTTTCAGACCAACTTCTCTTTCATTTGGGACATGGACAGAAAGGCCGCAGGTGGCTGCATGCCCCAACTCCACCAGCTGCACAGGTAGGGAGCTGCCCCTACGCGTGCCCCCCTCACCTGGCAGGGCTGTCCCAGCTGTTCTGGTGCCATGAGACATCGCTGCCTCCCCAGACAGGGAGAAGATCCGTGCTGTGGGAGGCAAGGACGACTGCTCGGGCAGAGTGGAGATCTGGCACCGTGGCACCTGGGGGACACTGTGTGACAATGCCTGGGACATGTGGGATGCCGAGGTGGCGTGCAGGCAGCTGGGCTGTGGCCCCGCGCTCTATGCCCTGGGCCAGGCTGCTGCTGGAGAGGGGACGGGCCCCATGTGA